AAATGAAAAAAAGAGAAAAAAGAACAAAATAAAAAAAAGAAGACCTGCCTCCGCGACTTTGACTCCCCCCCCCACCCCCACCCCCCTTACCATCCTCCGGGCATGCTGCCGGTGGTGATAGACGCACACACCGTCAGCATGCCCGGGGATGGCTCCTCTCTATTGGTGGGAAGCGGAACCTGCTGGAAAACAGCTCCCAAAAAAACAAAACAAAAAAAACAAAACAAAAAAACAATACAAAAAAATTAAAAAAAACAAAAACAAAAACAAAAAAAAACAACAACAAAAAAAACAAAACAAAGAGACAAACCAAGGCAATAATCCCCAAGAGCTCCCACATATCAGACACAAGTGTGCACTACATTTTGTGGCTCCACCAGGCATAATGACTCCTGCTGCGCGGTCCCACTAGCAAAGAGAATTGGACTGAATGCATGAATCTGGACACATTTGTCCAAATGCGATACAGAATGTTTATCCATGCCTGATGTCATTGCTGTAATCCGGTTCCACTTCCAAGAGCTGGCCCTCTTTAACTCCTCAACCGGACTTGCAAATGGGAATGGAATTAAAGTTGTCCTGAATAGAATGCACATTGCACAGTCATTAATTATAATATAGCCCCTGTATTCGGGGCAACTTTCAGTCTAGATACAGCGTTAACGACAATTTGTTCTACTTGGGCGAAGACGGTAGCAGTGGAATGAAACCTAGCCTTGCTGTTCTCTTCTTTCTTTTTTCACAAGATTCTACGATGGCAAGAGATCAGATTCAGATTCAGGGTTGATCAGACCGCATCAAGTCCGAAAATGAGATCCTGGGTGGATGGGTCACACAGAGCACACTCAGGATCGTTAAACAGAAAAGAAGGGGGGTTGTCCTTCCAAACATCCGTTAAAATTGGAACGATACAGACACAGAAAATTAGCATGGCCCCTGCACAACGATGACACATATAAATCGAGAAATGGTCCAAATTTGGAAAAAAAAAAAAAAAGACAAAGGGGTTTGGCAAGTTTGAGCAGCTGAAAAGTCACATGTTTTATTTTGCTATAAAAAAAAAGTCACATGTTGGGCGCTTGGAAATCCAGAATATTAAGTCAGGACTTGCACATAGATTTTGTTCATTTGCTGGGCTTTTTTGCACATAGATTTTGTTCATTTGGTGGGCTTTTTTCCTTTTTTCCTTACTCCTTTTTCTTCCCCTCAGCCAATTTTCTGTTTACCTGGACTTAACAAACCAAGGATGTGACATTTGTGACCAAGGATGCGACATTTGTGAGGCTCGAGGAGCGCGCTTTAGAGTTCCCCTCGATTTCCTTCACAGGTTCCAGCAGCGGCACAGGCTGTAGGAGAGTGACAGCCTCGTCTCGATTGGTTAATCTCACTTCAGCAGTAGGCAAGGTAGGTTAGCTGAGACGGTATCATGTGCTCAACAGCACCTCCCCCTCCTCCTCCAAAAGAGAGAGACAAAGAGAGACAGAGAGAGACAGAGAGAGACAGAGAGAGAGAGAGAGACAGAGAGAGACTGAGACAGAGAGTGAGAGACACACAGAGAGAGAGAGAAAGAGACAGAGAGAGAGGGAGGGAGGGAGGGAGGGAGGGAGGGAGGGAGCGAAGGGGGGTTAACCGCTTTGTAAATGTGTGAAAAAAAGAAAGAACAAAGATCAGAATGGCTAAATCGAAACGATCAACACCCTTTTTGCAGTAGTGGATGTAGATCGCAGGGCTCGATCCCTAGACCTCACTACCTGTGTACAGTACCCCTGTGTGTGTTTGAACCCGTAACCTGTGTTTTCGGAACCAGTAGTAGTCTGTCGTAGACCTCTGTGTCCGTCGGGTCGTGAACCGTAGAGCTGTCGCGTAGGGGTCAAAGTTTGTAGTAGAGGTCGTAGCTGTAGGAGTCCTGAAGGGTCAAGGCCGTAGCTGCTACATTCCTGAAAGGTCAAGGTCGTAGCTGCTACAGTTTCGAAAGGCCAAGTCCACAGCCTTCAGGAAGCTCCGGAAGTGGCCTTTCGAAGACTGCCCACAGCAGACCAGAGGCAAGTGGGCAAGTGGTAAACCCACTGCACCGAGTCAGCAGTGCGACTGCACTGAGTCAGCGGTACCCAGTCCCAGTCTCCCCTAGTCCAGTCAGCAAGTACCATGTGGGACTGTGTGCACCAAGGGGCCGGTGGAAAAGGGGCAGACCAGCCACGAACAGAAGTATAAATCAGGAGGCAGCATCCAGCCATTCATTCAGTACGTTCTTAAAAAAAACAAAAAGAACGTGTGTTCTATTCGGGGAAAGGCGATCATATTGGATATCGAGCATGAGAGGCATTGGCAAAATGCTCTCAAGGAGTCTCACCCATTTTTCTGCTTTTTTTTTTTTTTTTGCCCCGTATTTATTCATGGTCGTACGAGAGACATCCTTTCTAATGTTCGCAATGCAAGGGGAGTAAGAGGGGTTGACATTGTGATGAGATTCTGAAGTCGTACCTGCTGCCGATACGGAGTGATTACTCCGATTTCGAGTATTGCTTCATTGCGAGTTTCGTCCTGTTTCCAGCAAGCTTCCAGTTTCTTGATGATGCGGCAAACGACGCTAGCCTCCTTGGTGTTGAGCTTGCTCCCACCTAGACCAGATCTCTCCTCCCCATTGACATTAATGAAGGCATAGGCACCGTAGAGAGCTTTTTGGAAACCTTTGGAGTACGACAAGGGGTCACACACATTTTGACCGTCCACAACCCTCCCTTGATAGAAACGAGTCCTCGGGAAGACACTTATTTCCGGGTGCATTCGGTACTGGTGATCCAATAGAAGCTTCGGATGGCCATTCTCCTCTAACCTCTCGAAGAGACTGCGGGCGTAACCACACCTCGCTGCTTGACGCGATATGACCGTTGCTGTGAGCTGCTGTGTGTCCCCCACCAGAATCAGTCGCGTTGTGTGAGGCTTGAGCAAAGCGAGCGACATTTCTGCCTCCACGACCTGCGCTGCTTCGTCAATCAACACAGTTTCGAAAGGTAGCGAAAAGGCAAGGTTCAGTCGCCCACTCGAACTCACAGTGCAAAGGACAACCTTTGCTGCCTTGAGTATCATCGTGTCCAGGTCCTCTTTACTGTCTTCCAAGGCTCGCGCTATCTCCTCCTGGATGTCGACAAGGGTCCTTACCTCCCAAAGTACAGCTTCAAAGGATGCACAGAGATCTGCCTTCAACGCAAGATCTGCAGAGTCCAATTCTGGCTCCGACTCCGAGTCCTCGGAGTCGGAGCTCAGTACAATAACATCTGGATTAGAAGCAACAACACCCCTTTCCTCACGCGCTTTGATCTCACGAGCCGCTTCCGTAGGCGGTTTCCACTCCCCAGTGCAGCCAAACGCACACGGAAGATAACACCGTCCCAGCTGGTGAGGCATGCAGAACGCCCTTGCAACATCCTTCATGTGGTTGCAATACAACCCCCGAATATAACTGTTGACGTCCCAGAATTTTCCTTGCATGGATTCCAATGCGGCTCTTCTCTCTGCGTCCACGATCGTGTCTGGCAGTTCCTCTATCACCGTCCGCATTTCCATGATGAGCATATCCAGCGTCCAGCCCACATTCTTCAGCGTTTCGCTGAGCTGAATGCCGGGATCATTATCGGCGTCCGAGTCGGAATCTGACCAGAAACCCCCCTCAGGTTCACCGCGGTTAGCATTTGTGCGATAACTCCCACGCTTCGTAGACACTTTCCGCGCTCTTCGTTTCTCCTCGCTGACCCATTTCCTGCCGTCCAGATCTAAGAGCCATTCAAGGAGGGAGATCAACTTCTGACACAAAGAAAAGATGGCCCCACTACTCAGACCCTCGATCGCAATCTTGATTCGGTCTTTGCGGAACGGCAAAAAGAGCTTCCTCAGTGACCCTTCCAGGTCAAGCCTGTCCATATTCCCGAAAAGCACTAAGTCTGCAAGGCGCAGCGGAGGTCGAGTGCAGTCGACAGCTGAAGACTCGGAACGCACAGGGCCAGAGTCGTTGTCCTTCTCTCCCTCGTCGCCCTCGTTGGGCAAAAAGAGGCTGTCACTGCCATAGTTCTTTTCCTTTTTCGACTTTGACTTCACAACTAAATCTAGCAGTCTTGTCGCTAACTCGCTAATGGCTGCATTGGTTGGCGCGCAAGTCAATGTTTGGTTCCCAAGCAAACTCAGTGCGTAGACCAGTGTGACGATCGTTTTCGTTTTTCCTGTTCCTGGTGGACCTTGAATAAGACTGATCGCTTGGCGCTCCTCAGAATCTCCCAGACATCCCAAATGATCCGCAACGACTTTCACAATTGCCTGCTTCTGTGAGTCATTCAACACCTCCTCATCACATACACGTTTCACGAGACTGATGCTCTCCTCCGCAGTTAGAGAGACGGGTGATTTCGTCAACTCCTGTGCAGGTGAGTCGTCATCCGTCACCATTTCGTCACATACGCATTCCACAAGCGTAACAGTCTCTTCATTGTCAGTCACGCCTTCAGACAACACAGCAGGTAGCTCTGTGGAGAGGGACTCCTGCTTCTCTGAGACATCCTCATCACATACACGCTTCACAAGACTGACGCTCTCCTCCGCAAGACTGATGTTCTCCTCCACAGTTAGACAGACAGGTCGTTTCGTCAACTCCTGTGCCTGTGAGCCATCATCCGCCACCATTTCCTCACATTCGCATTCCACAAGCGTAACAGTCTCTTCATTCCCAGTCACTCCTTCCGATAACACAACAGGAAATTCTGTGGCGGGGGACTCCTGCTTCTCTGAGACATCCGGGACCACCACCTCCTCAACACATACGCGTTCGATCAGAGTGCTGCCATCTTCGACCACAGATGATCCTTCAGTGAGAGACGCTTCGTTCACTGCCTGTCCATGATGTACATGTTTGGCAAGTGCGACACTCTCTGCAATGTCATCAGATCCTTCAGGCAATACAGTTTCTGGCTCCATGTGCCGCTTCTGTGAGTTGTTCAGCACCTCATCATCAAATACACAATTCGTCTGAGCAACGGTCTCTTTGATCTCTGTCGACACTTCAGTTGCCGTGGGAGGCTGTTCCATGGACGCTCCCTTCTCTGTGTTGTTCAGCAACTCTTCATCACGTTCACACTTAACGAGCGTTACCTGCTCTTCCATGCCCGGCGATTCTGCTGCAGTCGAAGAGGCAGGCAGTTCCCTGCGCTCTTGCTTCTGTATGTCAGCATCCACCAACTCTTCATCACGTCCAGACTTAATAAGTGTTATGTGCTCTTCCATGCCCACCAACTCTTCATCACGTCCAGACTTAACAAGTGTTATGTGCTCTTCCATGCCCACCAACTCTTCATCGGGTCCAGACTCGACAAGTGTTATGTGCTCTTCCATGCCCGGCAATTCACTTACCGTGGGAGGCAGTTTCATGGACTCTCCCTTCTGTGTGTTGTTCAGCAACTCATCATCAGGCTCACACTTAAGGAGCTTTAGCTGCTCTGCCATGCCCGGCGATTCTGCTGCAGTCGACAAGGCAGGCAGTTTCATGGCCTCCTGCTTCTCTGTGTCATTCAGCATCTCTTTTATCTCTGTCGGTGCTCCAGTTACAGTGGCAGGCGGTTCCATGGACCCTTGCATCCGTGCGTCATCGGGTCCACACTTGACAAGTGTCGCGTGCTCTTCCACACACCGCGATTCTGCTACAGTCGAAGAGGCAGACAGTTGCATCAACTCCTGCTTCGGTGAGACATTAAGCAGCTCTTCACACTCGACACATTTCATAGGAGCGATGGTCCCCTCAACTCCAGAGGACCCTTCTTCAGCTAGAGAAGCAGGCGGCTTCTTTGACAATCCTTCAGCTAGAGAGGCAGCAGGCGGCTTCGTTGCATCTTGCTCCTCTGACTCGTTCAGCACCTCCCGATCACCCACACACTCCACAAGTGTGATGGGCTCTGCGATTCGAGATGCTCCTTCGTGCAGCGAGGCAGGCAGTTTCCTTGAACCCTGCTTCTGTGCATCATTTCGCACATCGTCATCGTGTGGGCTTTCCGTAAGCACGATGCTCTCTTGGGTATCAGGTGATGTGTCAGGTGATCCTTCAGTTAGAGACGAAGAAGATTCAGTCGACTCCCGACTCAGCGCCCCATCATCGTGTGCACTTTTCGTAAGAATGACGCTCTCTTCACTGTCAGGCGATCCTTCAGCCGGAGAGGAACAAGGCTCTCTCAACTTGTGCTCTCCTTTCGAGCATTTTTCCATCGGAGGTCGGCATAAAATCTCTTCCATCAAATTTGCCGCAGGCTCCCCCTCTTCCCTCGTTTGAGAGAGGGCAGCATAGACTCTTGACGCAGTGATCAGAGTCGTTACGTTGAAGAGCCACCATGCTGTGTTCGACTTTGCCGACGACGATGAATTGCCACAGCCGACAAGGCGTTTGTAGATAAAGTCGGATGGTCGGAGCTTGCAAATAGCCTGTCCCGTGCGAATGAATCCTCCGCGGGACTCCGGGGCATAAGAAATCACAAGAAACTTGTGAAAAACGTTCTTCGAACGCCCCACGTCCCCGATCCGTGCAATTTCCTCGCTGGCCAACAGAGCAAAATCCATCGGCCTCAGCCAAGTCGACTCACTCATTTCACCAGTCCTTGCGTCCTTTTGAAGCATTGCTGACCGCCCAACATCGCTAAATGACAGTTTGCAGAAGCGCTCTTCACACCGCGCATCGAGAACTGTGATAACTTTTCGCGGAAGTTCTTTGAGCTGCAACAGACCTTGCTGGATCTGCGCCCTCACCTCCTCCAATAATGGCACGAGGAACGCCGAAGTGTATTCCTCATAGCTCCCAAATCGCCACGGAATGTCTGATATCTGCAGAAAGCAGAAGCCCCAGCACACCAGCCAACATTGTTATTGATATTGTATAGATAGCTAAGCTACCAGAGTGGTCCAGGACCACTTGCCCGGCCGGGCCAACAAAAAATACAAGAATAAAGAAATAAAAGAATAAAGAAAAGAAAATTATTTTTTAAATTGCTGGGACCTTGCCTGGTCCTCTCACGGCCTGGCCGCAAGAGAAAGCAAGGTGACCCCACTGGCCCGGCTGGTAGCCTTGATAGATAGTAGATAGCTTGAGATTACCAGTCTGGCCCAGGACTACTTGCACGGCTGCCCCAAAAAAGAATTAAAAATAATCATAATGAGGTTAACGTTGTTCAGTTTGCTTTTCTTCACAACATAGTTTTTTTTTTTTTTTTTTTTTTTTTTTTTTTTTTTTGCGGGGGGGGGTGTTTGTAATTTTATTTTATGCACAGCGATCTTATGTGGCCCTTGTCCACCGGGGCCGCCCGGGCAACCAACCAAGGTAATCGAGGCGACCCGGTTGGCAAGGCTGGTAGATAGTGAATACTACACAAACAAAAAAACGAACACTGCCGAGTTCCATTTGAAAATTCCATGCAGTCGAGGTATCTCCCTGCATCATACAAGTAGTTATGACTTAGCTCCATCCGTGCACGGAGGGAATCGAACCGGCACCATCAGCCACAAGAGCAAAGCCTCTTAAAGCACCAGTACATGGGCACCTGGGCCGCAGGCCTGACACCTCAAATTCTGGAGGCGCGAAACGAAAACGCGACCGCCGATCCAATTTATGAACTGCGTTTGACGTTTCAGCCTCGTTTTCTTGTGGCGACAGGTTTCGGACTGCATGGCTGGGGCCGTGTACTTGTGGTTTAAACCACAACTCCAACGGCCACTGCACAGTTCATTTTTCTTGTCTACAAGTACCAGGCCAAAATCCACACAGCCCACGTGGTGGGGAGGGGTGCCAGAACTAGGCTACCAGCCGGGCCGCCCGGATCAGCTTGTTTGCCCGAGTGGCCAGGCCATGCAAGGACCAAAGAAGGTCCCCGCAAAAACCAAAAAAAAAAAACACTGAAAAGAAATTGGAAAATTTTTCAAAACGCCCCTCCTACTTCCATGTATTTGCAGTATGCCCCTCCGACGGCCAACTTACCCTTTCGTGTCCCTGGGGACTCTGAAGTTTCCTGCAGGTCCCTGTAAGTGAGGGGTGCAACTTTCCAGCATGCCCCTCTGGCCATTGGTGGCACTCGAGGCCTATCCCCTGGACCTGGGGGGGGAACTACCGGGGCATACTGGAAATTTGGAACCGGTACCAGTAGGGGCATATTGAACATATTTCAGGCCCCAAACAATGCCAGTGGCCTTTCGGACACTTCAATCGTTGTCAGACTGGCGTGACAACGTAAGTCGGCCGTCAGAGGGACATACCGCAAACAAATGGGAGTCGGAGGGGCATTTCGAAAAATTTCCCAAAAAATCACGTTATGCAGAAAAATAAACTGAACAACTTTTGCAGGGTCACATCGAAATTCTTCACCAAAATTCAAAGGGAAAATTTGTGCGGCGCTCCTGCAATTTCCATCATGTTGCGCCTTGCCCCTCCCACAGCCTATTTACCCTGTCACACCCCTCTGACCAAGCGTCAAATTTCCCATAAAACCCCAGTGCCGGTTGGGCCTGAAATATTTTTGTTATGCCCCTACTGGTACCCGTTCCAGATTTGCAGTATGCCCCTACCGGATAGCTGTTAAGTACCAGCACAAAAACTTCCCATATGCCCGTACTGGTAGGGTGTATCTTTTCAGTGCACCTCTATGGCTACGCACATGGCAGCCACTTCATCTCTCTCTCTCTCTCTCTCTCTCTCTCTCTCTCTCTCTCTCTCTCTCTCTCTCTCTCTCTCTCACACACNTCTCTCTCTCTCTCTCTCTCTCTCTCTCTCTCTCTCTCTCTCTCTCTCTCTCTCTCACACACACACACACACACACACACACACACACACACACCGTCAGTTTTTGCGGCAGCGCCACAAAAACCACGTGACGGAAAGATGCACGCCGCTCATGAGGGGATATCGTGCAGGGACCGGTGAAATGGGACTGGCCGTCCAGTAAGCGGCACCGCGGAAAGTAGCGCCCCTTGCTGACAGGGGCACGACAGGGTAAGTGGTCCGTCGGAGGGGCGCGATGCAAAATAATGGAAATTACATGGGCTCCAGACAAAGAAAAATAAACCTAAAAGGTCTTTTTTTTTTTTTTTTTGGCCCGGCCGGGCAAGTGGTCCTCGGCCACTCTGGTAGCCTAGTACCATAACTATTTTTCGGTGGGGCGTGTACCACAACTAGTTTTCGGTAGAGGTTCGGTGGGGAGGGGTACAACAACTCCTTCCCTCACGGCGGCACTGTAAATTCTAGGCTCCGGAAAATGCAATTTTTGGTTTGTCAAAACAGGTCCGGATAGAGTGCTCGCTTAACCAGAATAGGTTGATGACACCCTACTATTATCATATTTCTTCTTTCCCCTTCTTTCACAAAAACGGCTCACTGTGAACCATTCAACCTCACAAGGGCTTCAATTCACTCTTCATTTGTTGCAGTTCGAAATGCAAAATGATCAAAAGTGTCCATCCTTTGGGACATCCGTTAAAACACCCCTCTACCCGCCTTTAGAAAGTCAGGGGACCTGTAGGCCGTTTTTCCAAACAGGCATGTGGCCTCAGTGTTGGTCCTGGCCTTGATCCCAGAGCGACAAAAAATGGAAATATGTCTGCTATTATTTGACGGGCAAAATGATTTTATTTTTTTCTGATATTTTCCCTTGAAAGATCAGACCTAATCTACGGTTTAGAATTTTCTGTGAATTCTTTGGAGCACGAAAATCTGAAGGCAGGGGGACCAGTGAGCCGTTTTTTCCAAACAGGCATGTGGCCTACCGGTAGATCAGTATGGGGCCTGGGCTTGGTCCCAGAGTGGCAAAAAATGGAAATATGCCAAATCGGCATGCCGATTATTTGACGGCCGAAATTGTTTTTATTTTTTTTTCTGATGTTTTTTCCTAGAAAGATCACGACCTGATCTACAAACCCTCAAATTTTTAAAATTTTCTGTGAATTCTTCTGAGCACGAACAATCACCAAAGTCGCCGTACTTTTTCTGTTCGCCACACATGGTGGAGTGGCAAAAATGGAAATGCGCCGAATCAGCACGGCACTTATTTCACGGGCAAATGATTTTAGTTTTTTTTCCTGATATTTTCCCTGGAAAGATCATGACCTAATCTATGGACCCTCAAATTTTTAGAATTTTCTGTGAATTCTTCTGAGCACAAAAAATTGCCAAAGTCGCCACTCTGAAATTGCGGAACCAGGCCCGCTTGTTGGCAACGGCCGCCCCTCCCCCGCCCCCCGGGATTGACAGGGAGGGCACTTTCCAGGAGGCGGGTAGAGGGGTGGATCAAAAGGATCGGGACGATACAGAGAAGATTAGCATGGTCCCTGTGCAAGGACGACACACATAAATTGAGAAATGGTCCAATTTTTTATTTTTTTTTAAATAAAATCAAAAGTGTCCCAGATTGACGAAGGTGAAGAAATACATTGCAACACCCCTAACTGTTGATATACAGACTTGAAGTCGAATCCAGATGGAACTAGATGAATCCTGAATTACCTAGGCCCGGTCAGTTTCACGATGATATCTCAAGGCCATCGCCCGTTATCTATACGATCCTCTCCTTTTCTTAATTTTCATCCTCCTCGTTTTCTAAATTTTAATCCTCCTTTTTTTTTTCTTCTCTTCTTCTTTTTTTAAAGGGCGATGGCCTTGAGGTATTATCATCGGACTAACCAGCCCGAGTAAACTCAATCTTGTGTCTAATCTGACACCGGGTGGCCTTTTCAGCCCAGGGTGGCCTTGTTGCTTTCAGGGAGTAAACTCAATCTTGTGTCTAATCTAACACCGGGTGGCCTTTTCAGCCCAGGGTGGCCTTTTCAGCCCAGGGTGGCCTTGTTGCTTTCAGGGAACCCCCAATGGGGAACACCGGCCAGGGGACAGCCGGTAGCAGAGGGACCGAGCATCATCTGAGTGGCCAGTCACTGTGCCTCCCCGTTTACCCCTTTTTACTTTTCATCCTGCTGGCTGTTTCCTCTTTTTTTTTTCTTGTTTTTTTTTAATTCCCCAGGCCCTTCTATTCTAGAGGGCATCAGTCCGGTTGCTTATCACCGGCAAGCATGAGTACAAAGAAAAAGAAGGCGGAAGAGTGTTGAAGAAGATTCAGCCCAACCCTTGCGATACAAGTCACCTACTCAAAGGGGGGGGGGGGCTGCTACGATCCGACCCCCCCACCCCACCCCCAAAAAAAGAAAAAAACAATGCTTTCCTAGTGGGCTTCTGCTGGCCGGGAAGCTTACTGGAAGCACCTAGTCACGCAGCAGCACGACTCTAGGAGAGGCATGGAGCGGTGAGGGTCGTTCTAGCAGCCTCACAGTCCGTTACGCCCTTACCGCATTCCCATGACCAGTCCCCAGAAATCCGACACCGCCAACTCCTGCTAATCCTTCTGTTTCTCACCTGCTCAGCTTCGCCCTTCAATGAATCTACTCCCCTTTCTAATGTTCCCCCCCTGTCGAACTATACAATGATTACAATCCCCTCATCACATCCCCTCCTCACTGTCACGATATCCTCCTCTCGAAAGGAGTATCCCATGAGCATGTTCCCCAAGTTCTGTCCTTTTCCGTCACTTTGTATGCTGTTGTTTTCAATGCTGTTTTTTGCTAAAATTCACTCCCTCGACCCCTTTACCCATCCTATGCTATACCCCTGTACCCCTCCTACACTGTACCCCTGTACCCCTCCTATGGTGTACCCCTCCTACCCTCTCCTTCCCACGATCATGCACGCTCATGGCCCGTGCCATTTCCCACGGGTCCACCCTAACTATTTTATAACTCTTCTCCCTAGTGCCGACCTACCTCCTACGGACTCCAACGGAGCCACCCTACCTAGTTTACAACTAGTCTACCTAATGTACCTTCTATTTCTATCGCTTCCGCCCCTGGAACATGAAGGACCACAGCGTTCATATTCTGGGTGCTTTTTCGGGCGGGGCACGTGATGTGGCAGAGAACAGGGCCGAACTGTAACCGGCCCGTGTCAGGATCACGCGACGGGTCAACAGTTGTGGGTACTGATCCCATCTTTTCCAGAATTCCTCCACCTTCCCACACCCCCCCATGTCTACAACATCGAAAAGCTGACTCCAGGGCAATCCCTCAAATTGCCCATCGCTCTTTACTGGTATGCCTGCAGCAAAGGTGCTGCTCCCTGCCTGCAGCGGTCGTTTCACAGTGTCCATACTGCCCACAGCACCGCTGACCGACTCATCTCTGCAGACAGCAGGTCTCCAAAGGCTCCAAAGGCTCCGAAGGCTCCGAAGGCTCGGAAGGGGACAGCTGCGGCTTCCCCCCTTCGATGACTTCCAGCGGCGTCTTCTCTGCGACCTCCCGGGCCCACCATGTCCAAAAAGCCGCATGAAGACGGAGTTGCGGGCATCGTACAGACAGGTGAGGGATCGTCTCTGCTTGGCCACACCCTGCTGCACATAGCTGATCCTGGTGCTGACTCTTAGCAGCTACCGTCTTCACCTGAATAGAACGCCGGGTCATTATAGCTGTATTTGGCACAACTTTCAGTCCAGATACGGCAATAATTACCAGGCGTTCTATTCGGGTGAAGAGAGTAGCCATTGTGCTGTCGGGATCGCCAGATGGCAACTTTGCCACAGCAGTCGGGATCCCGACTGTTTCTGGTCTGCCAACGCTGTTAATATAGCACACTGCTCGCTCCATCTTCTCGCCGAGTCCACCGACCAAGGTAAGCGTTGGGAAGCCAGTCCTTGGCCCATCTGTTCCCTAACCCCTCACAAATGTTGATTGGTTCCATCAGCGAATTGTAAATGTTTTTCGTGGTCGCATCTTGCCGCGGCGTGGCCTTATTGTGCATCCCCCTGAGGTGACCATTCCCAGTCCCTTGGGTTCCCCGTCAGGTCCCGCAGCCTGTGTGCTGGCTGGAATGGCCGGTATTGTCCCTCTGCATCTCTTACTCCCTTGCACATTGCCACTGTCTCCACTCCATTCGTTGCCAGGGTCAATCCGCCCTACCTTCGCATCCCTGCTTCCCGTAGAGGGCCCCCCCAACCCCCCCAACATGCTAATCCCGGCGTTACCCTCCATTCACTGACTCCTAACCGCTTTAACCTTTTTTTTTTTTTTTTTTTTTTTCCACTGAGGGGTTAACCTTTAAGGGCATATACTCAACACAAGGACTCTTCCGACTGCTCTTTACAAGTAACCGCGGTCAGATGCATCCAGATGTCCCCCCGTGAGTAATTGAAGTCACATGCATTAAGGAAAGTGCCCGTACGAATTCGCTTTAAGATTACTGTGTCCCATAGGAGTCGAACTGACCCGCACCTCTCTACGGGTGAACCGATCAGCCCACTGGCACTACACATGAACCTAGCCAGTGTTATGACCAGGTTCATACTTGAGCTACATCCAGGAAGGTAGGCCTGTTCCCGTGAGCTACAGTTGGCTGAGTTTAGATCATCGTTTCATCTGATGGTCACAGCCCACTGGCACTATGATTGTACTAAAAGCCCGCATGAACCTAGCCGGTGTTATGACCAGGTTCATACTTTATGAGCTCGGATATAGAGTTGGACCTGGCGCTGGGCCTTGCAAAGCAAAACACCAAGTCAAGTCAATGATCATCATTCCTCACACGTACTGTTATCCGCTACAGACCATACTGTTGCAGACTCCAAGACCAGCTTGAATAAGAGCCTACGTAACATAATTCCACTTTTTTTTTTCTGAGTTCTTTCTTCTTTTGTTGTTGCTCTCTTCCCTTGTGTTTGCTCTATATGCAAAAACATTCAGCACACTTTTTTTTTTTTTTCAATTCAGCACACATTTCACTCCCTCTCTCTCTCTCTCTCTCTCTCTCTCTCTCTCTCTCTCTCACACACACACACACACACACACACACACACACACACACACACACAAGCACACACAAGCACACATTTGATTCACACACACAAAACCAAAAAAAAAAAACTTCACACATTTGATTCACACACAGAAAACCAAAAAACAAAAACTTTTTTTAAGTTTCAATAAAATCAGGGTTATATTTCTTTTATTTATTAGTATTAAAACAAAAACTTTATTTTAATAGTATATCTATTCTTCGTTTCATTCATAAGAATAACACAATCTTTCAAAAATCAATTAATTAAATTGCAATATTAAATATTCATTAACATTTGATTCACACATGCACACAAGCACACATTTGATACACGCACGCGCACACAGACACACAAGAACACATTGATTCTCTCTCTCTCTCTCTCTCTCTCTCTCTCTCTCTCTCTCTCTCTCTCACACACACACACACACACACACATTTGATTCACACACACACACACACAAAAGCACACATTTGATTCACACACACACACACACACACACACACACACACATTGGAAGAATAGGACATACCTTTTCCGAGAATAGGCTTCCGTTTAAGATGTCCTTGACCGACCAGTCAAGGATAATCTCAGCGAGCGCCCACTCTCTGGCAGGAACTTGCTCGGGGACATCCTCCTCGTGATTAGCATTATCATTATCACAGCTGTCTCGCGGATTATCATCATCTTCTGGTCCAGGTTCGGACACGTCTGCTTCACCATCTCGACCCGGGATCTTCTCTGCACCGTGCTCTTCTTCAACAATGCTGCTGCCTGATGTCTCCATGCCCACCACCTCCCCAGTGGGAGCAGCTTCGACGACGACGTCGTTTACGTCATTGCATGAGGACAACGACGACGAAGTTTCATTCTTCCGCCGCCCAACTACTTCCGTGCTACCACCAATCTCTTCTTCTAGTGTCCCATCAGCTGATGGGACACTAGAAGAAGACAGCAACTCGGACTGATCCCCCGCGTTCACACTATCCTCCAGCGATCGAATTTCCTCCTCTTGTACTCGTGTGGCCTCACTACCCATACCCACATCAAGGGGCACTTTGCTGGGCCCCGCCGCCTCCTCAAAAGGGGCAGCAGTATCGCCCTCAAGCCGCGTCGAAGCCCACACAGTGGATGTTGTCCGCATTTGGTTTTGCTGGTTTATCTCCACTGCTGCATCCTCCTGGGCATTTGCCTCCGATGATGGTGCCATGGTGCCCGGTACCATGGTATCTGATACCCCCGTCGAACCATCCTTCCCCTGTCCAGATTCCACGACCCTGTGCACTCCCTCGTCTAATCCCGACACGTAATCCCCGACGCAACGGCTGTAGGCAGACTCCTCAGAAATCATTTCCTGTCCGGCAGCGCTGTCATCACAGCTGTTACCCCGTTTGACAAGTTCATCAGGGCCAAGGATTCGTTCTGCCCGTTCTGCTCCTTGCGTTTCCTCACCCCCATTCGCTAATACCAGCTGGCTATCGCCATCACTTATCGGACTGGCATCCCCGGTCTTCAAAACATGCACCGTCATCGCCTCCGTAGACACAGCTCCAGCTCTGTCCAAAGCAGCAGCAGCACCACCACCTCCTCCTCCCTGATTGCCATAAACTCCCGTTACTTGTACAACTCGCTCGACATCACCATCTATCCACGTGTCGCCCCCGCACTTCGCGCACTCGAGCAACTGCTCTGCCAATGCAAGTCGAGAGATCTGCTGATCAGCCCCTCCACTACCTTCTCCCCCGTCACAAGGAGTCTCTCTCTCTCCACTCAAGTCCACATTGGCAGATTTCGGGCTGATTGCTGACTTCGAGAGGGTTTGACAACAGAGAAGAGTAGGCTGATCAGCACCTCCACTACCTTCTCCCTCGTCGTCACAAGGAGTCTCTCTCTCTCCAATCAAGTCCACATTGGCAGACTTCGGGCTGATTGCTGACTTCGACACGGTTTGAGAACAGAGAAGAGTACGCTGTCCTTCCGATGCACAAGGTTGTTGTTGTTGCCCAACGACGACAGGATTCGACGTGCGCACCTGAACAATAGTAGTCCCAGTATCTGCCAATGCCCTTTTGGCCATAGCAACTTTCACAGACGATGAGGCATCATTATCTCCTCGACGAGTCTTCTCGTGATCGCTCTCAGCTATGGCGCACGGTAACGGACACGTGGCATCATCTACATCCAGCCCCGTTGACCTCGGCACCACGTGATCAGCAGCGTAATGACTAAGGCCATCGCGATCGCGATCCCGACCCGGCTGTCCCACACCACCGTCCCCATTATCAAAAGATTCGTAGGAGTCATACCCATACCCATCTCCATCTGCATCGCGATCGCGATCGCGACCGCCACTGCGATCGTCGTGGGACTCATAAGACTCGCGATCGCGATCCCGATCGTCATCGACCCCATCTTCAAAGCCGTCGCCGTCTCCTGCATCATCATCAGCAGAGACATCTGCAGACCTACTAGCATCATCATCATCGGCATTCTCCCCTGCGTGCGGGTCATCTCCTGCCAACGAAGATTCTTTCTTTCGATTACTCCTGTTACTCTTCAAGATCTCCTCATCATCCTCATCACCACCACCATCGCCAAAACTCATCTGGCCATCACTCCCACGAGAGAGAAGATAGCCATCGCCGACGTCATCTTCATAAGACTCGTAAGAGTTGTAATCGTCGTCGTCTTCTCCTGCAGCCGCCTTCTCTGTGCTTGGAACACTCCTGCCTGACGAAACAGTCCGTTCATAAACCGAATCATCCTCGTTCCCACCACCACCACCACCATCACCACCACCCTCCTCCTCCCCCTCCCCCTCCCCATAAGATTCGTAAGATTCGTACTCATCTCCCGCCGCAGCAGCATTGTCGATCATCGAGCTGTCCACCGATGACACTTCTGTCTGATCTAGCGAAGCCCCTCCAGCTGTAATAATAACCTCAGCAGACTCCTTGATATCGCGATCCCGATCGCCCCTGCTGACAGATCGCATCGTATCTTCGATGACTGCAACCTGACCTGCGGAAGACGTGAGCTTAGCGAAGACAGCAGTACTCCCTCTCATCCTACTCATTATTGACCCATTCTTATCGACGAGTCCACTCTTATTATTCGTGCTGACGTGGCATCCGATCGCCACTGATGACATTCGTGCTGACGTGGCATCCGAAGACAGCAGTACTTCGGAGACTTCTGCCTTTCGTGCTGACGTGGCAGCCGAACTGGTTGCTCCTCTACATGAGAACCCGCCGCCCCGTTGACCACCGCCCTCCTGCTGCATTCTCCGCGGGATCCCGACCGCAACGGTCTCTTCAGCCTTCGCGGCGCGCAACAAACCCTTCGTCGCTCGAGGGGGTTCCCTACTTCCCCATGTCCGGATACCGACGGCAGCAGGCTTGCACTCCAACGTTTGCAACGGCGGCGGCGGCGGCGGCGGCGGCTGCGGCGGCTCTTGTTGTTGCCGATAAGAAGAAAGTTCACCGCCGACATAATCACGTCTTGTTGCAGATCCCGACGACGATCTCGTGCGAGGGACATCATCAGATCCCTCCGCGCCCCCCCGCGCACTTGCTGCCGGCGCAGTCCGGGCGCTAATCGTCCCATAATGCGGACCGTCGAAGCGATGAGCGCGTTCGCCGCCGCCGTGATCGTCCCGTTGTTGAGAGTAACCCCTGACACGCGGGCTTGGCCCATCAAGTTGCCCTTTGGGCCAAGACACTGCATCCCGATCCCGATCTACAACACGACGACCCGATTTCGTGCACGTCACCACCAATCCCCCGGATCCGCTGCCACGTGGAAACGGGGCACGCTGCTCCACTTCTGCTTCTTCGCTCCTCGTCGGCGCCCGACTGCCTGCCACGTGGCCATCGAAGCGACTGCCGGTCGATGTCGTCCGAGCAGCCTCCAAGTCATCCACCCGTCCTCTTCCCCATTCTCGCTGACGTATCTTCTTCGGGTTGTTGATCTCCCCCCTGCTGCTAGGCGGCGTCAGAGACGGGTCAAGCAGAGAAACGACGCGCCGACCTGGCATCGAGCACGTGACCTTCAAGCCCGTCCCCGAAACCAAACCCTCTTCTCCGCGACGACGATAGTCATAACCTTCTTTTGCTCTCAACTGCACACGTGCAGTTCCTCCTCCTCCTCCTCCACCATAACCATCATAACCTTCCTCCTCCTCCTCCTCCTCCTCCTCCTCCTCCTCCTCCAGCTCCGATCTTCCGCGCGAACTCGCAATATGCTGTGCTCGTCGCCTGGCATCATTACCACGGCCCCATCCAGTCGCAGACAACGAAACATCATGACCGACAACAGCTGCCGGGTCCTCCCTCCCTCTCTCCCTCGCTCCTCGACCAATCGCCCGAGAGGGTCTTGAAGTCGATGACAATCCCGGCGGCGAAAGGACCCCAGGAGCCTGCCTGTGCCTGTCTTCGCCCCTAGGTCGCGATCTTCCACGTCCCGATCCCACGTCATCCCCGCCGCCACTAGATCGGCGGCGGCGGATTGGATTCGAATATGATGACGTGGCAGCAGCATTTTCCTCCCCTCCCTCCCCCCCTTTCACGCCACGTGGACCGCCACCCTCCCCCCCTCCGCCGGCGTTTCCGGAGACGAAACTGCTATTACTAGGATGATAGCCATCGCGATCCCGGCCCCCAACAGACGAGGAGGTGGTTACCCTGGTGGTGGGCTGCGACAGACCGGAACTGTGTCGGGACGTGTCATCCCGCCCACGGTTCTGCTGTAACGGACGGCCGCGATCTTGTGGGTCCCGATCTTGCAAGTCCCGATGTTGGAGTCCCCGCCTGCCCTGGTCGAGAGAAGGGACAACCGATTCCACAGTTACACGTCCGGATCCCGCTCCTCCTGGTCCAAGCTCCGACCCTCGTCCAGGGCCCGATCCTGGTCTAGGTCCCGATCCTCTTGGTCTAGATCGCAGTCCTGGTCTAGTAGGTCCCGATCCCCGCCCCGATCCTCCACATTGACCCTTCTCCGTGTGATGAGCGGAACCCACATCCCCTCGGTCAGCACGTCGCTGCTGATCAGAAGAACCTTCGCCGTGACGATACGTCGGACCTTCAGCATCCAAAGAAGAGGGAGCTTGACCGCGATCTCCTTTGATCTGATTACTTGAGGGAGAGGCCACCAATCCCGTGCCCTTGAGCAGTCTGGACAGCAGGTGCACACTCATTTCCCGATATCCCTAGTTCCCGAACGAAAACAAGCGCAAAGGATTAACGACATGCCCAAAACCCTAAAACGACTAAGTACAAGCACCTGAGGACAGATGAAGAAGGAGAAGAGAAGGGATGAACCGGGATTCGACGATAGGGTTCCCTAGTTTCCAAAAGCACGAGCGCACAGGCCAGACCGAAAAACTGCCCAAAACCCTGAAAGGATTAAGTACAAGCGATTTAGGACAGATGTAAAGAAGAAGAAGAAGAAGAAGACGAAGAAGACGAAGAGGAGGATGAACCGGGGGTTCAAGAACAGGGCAAGGAGGACAAGGGATAGGGATGAAGGCGAGCGCAATGACCGAGCGACGAATTGCGCAAACCCTAAAACGACTAAGTACAAGCGAGCCTCTCATCTCCCCTTCAACATCACTTGCATCCCGCCCCACCTCTCTCTCTCTCTCTCTCTCTCTCTCTCTCTCTCTCTCTCTCTCTCTCTCTCTCTCTCTCTCTCTCTCTCACACACACACACATACACACACA